TCATCTTTAATTTATAATTAATGCTTCATTTTAAATTAATGCTCCATCTTCCTCCTCCCTTGAGCATCTTTTCTTATTTGATAGATACACGTACATATTATAATCATTATAGAGTAGTTGCTAATATCTTTTACCTGCTGTAATTGAGTTTCTGGTAAGCTCTCCCATTATTTAGCTTAAAAACAAGAAACATATCTCTGCACAGCACTCTCCACTAAACTTTATTAAATTTGATTTCTGAATTTGTTTTCTGCTGTAATTTTGTCTCTGGAAGGCTCTTCCAATATTTAGCTTAAAAACAAAAAACATATCTCTACACAGCACTCTCCACTAAACTTTATTAAATTTGATTTCTGAATTTGTTTTCAGTTGTAATTTTGTCTCTGAAAAACTCTTTCAATATTTATCTTAAAAACAAAAAACATATCTCTACACAGCACTCTCCACTAAACTTTATTAAATTTGATTTCTGAATTTGTTTTCAGTTGTAATTTTGTCTCTGAAAAACTCTTTCAATATTTATCTTAAAAACAAAAAACATATCTCTACACAGCACTCTCCACTAAACTTTATTAAATTTGATTTCTGAATTTGTTTTCAGTTGTAATTTTGTTTCTGGAAGGCTCTTCCAATATTTATCTTAAAAACAAAAAACATATCTCTACACAGCACTCTCCACTAAACTTTATTAAATTTGATTTCTGAATTTGTTTTTAGTTGTAGTTTTGTCTTTTGCAAGCTCTCCCAATATTTAGCTTAAAAACAAGAAACATATCTCTACACAGCACTCTCCACTAAACTTTATTAAATTTGATTTCTGAATTTGTTTTCAGTTGTAGTTTTGTCTCTGGCAAGCTCTCCCAATATTTAGCTTAAAAACAAGAAACATATCTCTACACAGCACTCTCCACTAAACTTTATTAAATTTGATTTCTGAATTTGTTTTCAGTTGTAGTTTTGTCTCTGGCAAGCTCTCCCAATATTTAGCTTAAAAACAAGAAACATATCTCTACACAGCACTCTCCGCTAAACTTTATTAACTTTGATTTCTGAATTTGATTTCTAGTTCATCATTTTTGAACTTTTCTGAATTTTGTCTTGACGTTGCCTTTTCTTTGCTGTCCCATGGGGGATTGTTTCAAGGCTCTAATTTTACAGCCTGAATCTATACAGGCTCTAGCTTTAACTTCTTCTAACCAGATTTGTTCATGGATTGTGTAGTAAGCTAACGTTTGAAAATGGGGAGCCAGCTTCTTTAAGGCCTTGCAAATATCCCCAAATAAGAGGAAAAAAGTACATTTGCTATAGAAACAAGTAAGATTTCATGACTGATGCAGCTGTACAGATACTTACATTAATTTAGCATTTCTGCATTGTAGCAGGAGGCAGCGGCTTTCTACTGCAGTGTACTTAACTGGAACGATTAAAG